GTTTCATTGTTGTAGGGAGTTTTGAGACAAGGTTTCCTGTAGCTCAGGCCAACATCGAACTTGCTGTGTAGCTCAGGCTGGCCTTGAATTCCTAAACCACCTGTATCTACATCCTAAATGCTGAAATTACCAGGTGAGCACCACCACACCTGGTTCTGTTTCAGTGTATTCGTGTGTGTGTGTGTGTGTGTGTGTGTCGTATGACTTACTTTGAGCTAAATGTCTTTGAAGAATATTTACTGTAGATTTAAACATATTTCTTTTTTTAATTTATTTAACTTTATTTATGCATTAGTGTGAGAGTGCAAGATGCCCTGGAACTGGAGTTACAGACAGTTGTGAACTGCCATGTGGATGCTGGGAATTGAACCCCTGTACTATGGAAGATCAGCCAGTGCTCTTAACCTCTGAGCCATTTCTCCAGCCCCTAAACATATTTCTTTATATTAAAAGATTACGCAGACAGGCAGATATGCTATCACAAGTGTATAATCCCACTTACTTTGGAGGATGCTAAAGCAGGAGCATGGCAAGTTTAAGACCAGTCTGCCCAACTTTAACAATTCCTTTTCTCAAAGGAATGAGTTAGTAAGGAAGTGTGATGACTGAGCAGATCAAGTGCTTACTGCAAAGCCTCACAACTTCAGGAGATCACTGGAACCCACGCAGAGGTGGAGTAGCCACCTCCACAGATCTGTCCTCTCACATAAGCATGCAGTAGCACATGTGTGCGCACAATAATCTGTTACTATCAATAACTGTTGACCAATATTGAATGTACAGAGGATGCAGCTCAGTGGTAAGCACTTGCCTACCATATGCAAGACCCTGGGTTAAGTAACCTAGTAGCACGTCCACCCACGAAAAGGAGGCGGTAAACACTTGAGACACCGTGTTGGTTTTGCTGCTACTTATTTAGTTCTTCTAATTCATGGGTGTTTGCTTGCTCGTTTGTTTTCACATACAAATGCCGTTTCCTTTCCCTCCTCTCCTCCCAGTTCCTCCCCCACTGCCTCCTTTCCCCCATCCACTCCTTTCTCTTCAGAAACGGGCAGGCCTCCCATGGACATCATCCAGCCATGGCATATCAAATTGCAGTGAGACTAGGCACCTCCTCATATATTAAGGTTGAATGAGGCAACCTGGTAGGAGGAAAGGGTCCCCAAAGTAGGAACAAAGTCAGAGACAGCCCCTGCTCTCACTGTTAGGAGTGCCACCAGGAGACCAAGCTACACAGCTGTAATATGTGGAGAGGGCCTAGGTCAGTTCCTTGCAGGCTCCCTGTTTGTCAGTTCAGTCTATGGGCCCCGGTTAGTTGGTTTTCTTGTGGTGTCCTTGACCCCTTTGGCTCCTACAGTCCTTCCTCCCTCTCTTCTGCAGGATTCCTCGAGCTCTGCCTAATGTTTGGCTGAGGGTCTCTGCACCTGTTCCCATCAGTTGCTGGATGAAGCCTCTCTGATGACAATTGGGCTGGATATCAGTCTGTGACTAGAGCAGAATATCATTAGGAATCATTTCGTTGACTTTTTTTTTCTTTTCTTTTCTTTTTTTTTTTTTTTTTTTGCCAGTCATGTTTGGTTTTATCCCAGGTCTCTGGGCTATCCAGCCACAGAGGCCTGGCCCTTCAGGCAATGTCAGGGGTGGGCATGAGTCTCCAGCTGGACCGGTCATTGGTTGGCCACTCCTACAGTTTCTGTGCCACCTTGACTCTCAGCACATCTTGTAGGCAGGACAGTTGTAAGTCGAAGGTTGTATGGCTGGATTGGTGAATCAGTCCCTCCACTGTAAATCTTCCTGGTTACAGGAGATGGCCAGTTCAGGCTCTATATCCCCCACTGCTAGGAGTCTTAGCTAGGGTCACCCTCATAGATTCCTGGGGAGTTTCCATTGCACTGGGTCTCCAGTTTATCCTAGAGATGCCCCCAAATTCCAGTTGTCTTTCCCAGTACTCTCTCCCTCCATCCTGATCTAATTCATGGTTTAAAAACCTAATTATTACCTTCTCTGAGCAAAAATATGCTAGATTATTATTTAGTATATGATACTCCTTTACAGTCTAATGAAGGAGACAATTGTAGTGTTAGAAGCAAAAACAGTGTTTTTATTGCATAAATAATAAATTTATGAGAGCTACTTACACTGTCTACTTAGAAAGGGCTTATTTTATCTGAACACTTCAGGTAACAGTCAGTCACTGAGGATGTCAGGTCAGGAACCGAAGCAGAAGCCACAGAGCCCTGCTCCTTACAGTTTGCTTTCTTATACACCGAGGACCACATGCCCAGAATCGGCACCTCCTGCAGTGGGCTGAGCCCTCCTACATCTATCATTAACAAGAAAAAGCCCCACAGACTTGCCAAAGGCAGTCTGATGGAAGCATTTACTACTCAGGTGACATTTCAGTTTCCTAGATACGTCTAGGTTTGGGTCAAGTTGACAAAAACCCACCAAGATGCACACAAATAGTAAATTAATTTTAAAAAATTTTTAATATACTTTTTATTTTTAATATTAATGTTTTATTAATATTAATTAATTACATTTTAATATTAATATTGTTTTCATTTTGATTTCTCATTGGGCCATTATGTAGCCCAGGGTGACTCTTGAACTTGCCGTGTGAGGCAAGTGTGAGTTCCTGGCACTCCTGCCTGCACGTCTCAAGGGCCGGGACTGCAGGTGGGCACCACCATGCCAGGCTTGTTTTGTTTGATTGGTTTGGGGGTGTTTGAGACAGAGTCTCACATAGTCCAGGCTAGTCAGGAATTTGCTGCATAGGAAAGGATAACCTTCAACTTCCAATTAATCTTGCTGCTTCCTTATTTACTTATCTAAGTAAATAGAGAATAAAAAGTAGAACACGGGGGAAAAACAGAAAGAGCTGAGGCTGTAGGCCTATGCTACCACGTCTAGCATGAAAAATGTCTCTTTTTTGTTTAAATACATACACAAAGATTTTGTACTTTCATATTACAAAACCTATCTTATTAATTTCTCACTATGCTCATGGAAGTGCCAAATTGGTCATTTCAAATAAACTAAAGTTATTAATAGATCAAAACTTGATGCTGTTTTGCCATGGTTTTGATTTTTTTTTTTTAAGATATTTTTATTTATTTTGTATACAGCATGTATGACCAGAAGAGGGCACCAGATCTCATTACAGATGGTTGTGAGCCACCATGTGATTGCTGGGAACTGAACTCAGGACCTCTGGAAGAGCAGTCGGTGCTCTTAACCGCTGAGCCATCTCTCCAGCCCGGTTTTGATTTATTAAGCCTTTTAAGGTTATAAAGAATACCACTGCCTCCTGAGTAACATCTGGAAGGTTGAGTTCAGTGACAAGTCCAAGGAAATACTACTTTTCACACCAGAAATTTTTAATTATAGAGCCATCAAAGCAAGTAAAGACAAAAAGTGAGTGAGTGAGAGAGAGAGAGAGAGAGAGAGACAGAGAGAGAGAGAGAGAGAATGAATGTGAATGTAAGGCCTCCCTTAAAGTTGAAGAACACACACTTTAAACACAGATCAACTTAAGTTCAAATCCTTGCCCTTGGGGCTGGGGAGATAACTCAGCAGGTAAGAGCACTTGCTGCTCTTCCAGAGGACTGTAGTTCTGTTTCCCCGCACCTGTATTAGTGGTACATACCACTGTACGTTCAGCTCCAGGGGTTCCGGTAACCTCTTCTGGCTTCTGTGGGTACCCACATACACATGACAGACACAAAAACATGTAGGTACACATAAATCAAAATAAATGTTTTTTTTTCACCTTCTTGCTCTCTGTGACCCTGAGCAGGTTGAATCTCTCTTGCCATAAGTAACACTTGCTTTATAAGGTTCTGTTAGAGATTAGTGCTTAGTCTTTGTAGCTGAGAATATAAAAATGTAAATAAAATCTTCAGATAAAAGGAAACCAAATTGTAATAAATAATAATAAATCAGTTGGTCCCCAATAGCAATTTTATAAAATGAATAAAGCAAATGCTAATAGTCCTTACAATACAGATCCTATGTTTTGTCTGGAAAAAAAGTAGGAAGTATTGTTTACAGATTAGAATTTTTAAAATGCTTAAATGTGTAGCAGTGGAATTGTGAATAAATAAATGATAGGGTTCTATGTGAGTGAGGATTGCAATAAAGATTGTAGATGACCCTTGTGATGTGTTATTACAGAAATGGGGTGTATGTATCTTGAGCATCTTATAGTTAAGCTCAGGTTTTGAAATATACAGAAATGGCTAGAGATGCAACTCAGCTGCCAAGGCACTTGTCTTCTATGCATGCAGCTCTGGGTTTGATTCCTAGCATTGCGTAAGACCGAGTGGGGTGGTATATGCCTGTAATCTTAGCAACGAGTGGAGGAAAGAAGAGGAGCGGAAATCCAAGGTCACCATTGGCTAGATATTGAGTTCAAGGTCAGCCTAGGCTACATGAGATGCTGCCTTGAAAATAGATATAAGTAAGTAATAGAATGTACAAAAAACTGAAAGCACCAACTAATAACATTGACTGTTGGAATAATAAAGTTGTGAACAATTCTTTTATTTCTTTTATATATCAATACCATGGAATTATCATTATAATGAGATTATATAAGAATATAAACACCTCTTTGTAAATAAAACATAAATTTTAGATTTCTTAATGTTTAGTTCCATTATTAAGACACCCAAAAATGAGACTATTATTTTTAGATCTTTAACTACTAAGGTTATGGCACTTTATGCAAAGTCCAATATTGATCTGTAACAGAAATGTACATGCCATAAAACACTAATTTTAAATATGTAGTAAAACATGTTTATTTTAAAAGCATCAACATTAATTTTATTATAAACAAGTGAATTATCCAGAGGAATTGTTTTTAATTTTTTTTAGATATTTTTATTTTATGTTTTTCAGTCAGTTGTTACAATTCAGTCTAATATATTGACTCTGAATCTTAAAATAGAACAATTTTAAGAATTTTTTTAAAATTCTGTGTTTTGATATTACAGATTTATTTGAGGTTCTTAGATTACCAAATGGAACACTCAAATGAATGCAAGAGAAATTTTGTGGCGGTCTATGATGGAAGCAGTGCCATTGAAAATCTGAAGGCCAAGTTTTGCAGCACTGTGGCTAATGATGTAATGCTGAAGACAGGAGTGGGGGTGATTCGGATGTGGGCAGATGAAGGCAGTCGGCTTAGCAGGTTTAGGATGCTCTTCACTTCCTTTGTGGAACGTAAGTAAATCATTCACAAGATGCCTACTGAATTTCTATTTTTTTTTAGCAGAAAAAGTACTTTATTTTATAACATCATTTTGTAAACTGTCACGCTGCAGTTTTTAACTCAACAGGAACATTTTTTCCCCACTGACTTACAGCAAACCCTATGCCATGTCAGTGAGTTAATACATGAGTGAAGATGGTCAGGGCAGAATGTAGGAGTCAGATTATGGCGCTTTATGCAGAGTCCAATCAATATTGTAATCAATCAGTCTGTAACAGAAATTTACTTGCCATAAAACACTAATTTTAAATATATAGTGAAACTTGTTTAGTTTTAAAGTATCAACATTAATTTTACTATAAACAAGTGAATTATCCAGAGGAATTATTTTTAATTTTTTTAGATATTTAATTTATGTGCATATGAGTGCTTTGCTCACATGACTGTACACCTGGAGCCTGCAGAGGTCAGAAGAGGGTGTTAAAACTGGAGTTATGGATGGTTGTGAGCTGTCATGTGGGTGCTACGAATTGAACTTGGATCCTCTGCAAGAACAAGTGTTCTTAACCACTGAGCCATCTCTTCAGCCCCAGAGTAATATTTATCAATATGAATATGTATTTTTGACAAAACTGCATCCAAAAGCATGTCAAAATGAGGAAATTATGATGCGTGGTTGGTTTTTTTGTTTTGTTTTGTTGTTTGTTTGTTTTTCGAGACAGGGTTTCTCTGTGTAGCTTTTCGTCTTTCCTGGAACTCGCTGTGGAGACCAAGCTGGCCTCGAACTCACAGAGATCCACCTGCCTCTGCCTCCCGAGTGCTGGGATTAAAGGCGTGTGCCACCACCGCCCGGCCATGATGCCTGTTCTTAAAATTTTGACTGCTATGACAGGGGAAAAAGTGTTGGTATGTGAATACCAGCACTGGGTCAGTAAGAGACTTCAGAAGTGGGGTCTTCTCTGGGGATTTTTCTATCTTAAAAAGAGTTATCAGGCTAGGCATGGGGTAGCACACCTTTAATCCCAGCACTCAGGAGGCAAAGGCAAACAGATCTCTATGAGTTCAAGGCCAGCCTGGTCTATGTAGTGAGTTCTTTGACAGCCAAGCTGCATAATACAGAGACCCTATCTCAAAAAGAAAGAAAAATTATCAATTGTAGTAATTCAGCTTTGTTGGTAATTATTGACTCCTGCAAACTGTGCAAACCTTGGACACCAGAAGTTTACATACCACGTTGAAGATTTTTGTTGCACGAATCCTAAGTGGTCTTATAATAAAAACCCAGAGCCAGATATCAGGGTGAAAGCTGAAAGATCAGAGAAAGAGAGTAAGCTACAGCCACCACCTCTTACCTCACCAGCTCCTCAGCCTGAATTCCTGTCTCCTCCTGCCTTATATTCCTTTCTCTGCCCAGCCATAACACTTCCTGTCTCAACCTTCCTAGTGCTGGGATTAAAGGTGTGTGATCCCTTAAAGGTGTGTGCCACCACTGCCTGCCTCTTTCTCTTGTAGACTGAATTAATCTCATGTAGCCCAGTGTGTCCTTGAACTCACAGAAATGCAGATGACTCTCTGCCTCTGCCTCCCTTTGAGTGCTAGGATTAAAGGTGTGTGCCACCACTGCCTGACCTCTATGGCTAACCCTGTGGCTAGTTCTGTCCTCTGATCTTCAGGCAAATTTTATTTGTTCAAAATATCACCACAGATTTTTTTTCACTTTTTATTCTTAAATAGTTTTGAATTTGCAGAGATTTATAAAAATAATAAAAACTTTATACTTTTATTTAGACTTTCCTAATGTTAACATCATTAAAAACAAGATGAAAATTAGCATTGATACACTATTAACCAATCTATAGACCTCATATGACTAATTTCCCCCTTAATGGCTTTCCCCTTTCTTTAATGGCTTTTTATGATCTAGTTTCCCACATTGCTTTCAGTTGCCAGTGTCCTTGGTTTTGTCCATCTGACAGCTACTCAGTCTGGACATGTGAAGTATAGTAGTTACTGATTCAGTAAACTAGCCACCAATTTGGGTTTATGTGATGTTTTCCAAATGAGTCATTGAGATCATGAATTTCATCTAGAATACTAAGTGCCTTCTCTGTTCATCATGTCAGTGAAGTTGGGTATGGAATACTGATTGTCTTATTAATGCTGATTGGCTACCATATTAACTCTACCATTTTCCTAATGTTATGTCAGTTTTCCCCAATTACAGAATCACTCTTTTTTTCTCTTTGCTGGTCTTTTGGGGACTGTGAAAATATCTTTTCACAACTAATTTTAGCATCCATTGAATATTTTTGTCTTTAACTTGCAGTAGTTATTTGTTCAGTGTTTACCTAATGATGACTTTCAATTTCTATCATTCCTTCTGCATATTCTAATTATAATTTTGCTTGTGAGGAGAAACTAGTCTAGTGTTTCCCTCAATTACATATTCATTTGTTGTGTGACACTATTCCTAGGAAGACATGAACAAATGTCTATTCACTCCAAATAGAAAATCAGTGACAGACCAAAATAAAGATGCTACCAAAACCCAACTTTGTGAGCCAATGAGTTTTTCCAGGGTTATGTACAAGAACAGGAATGAGTCAAAGATGGCAGATCCTCAAAGCCCACTCCAGCACAGGTGACACAGTTCACCAAGCTGGAAACCTGAAGCATACTGCACAGCCTGCAGGCAGCTCAGCTGGTTGGACAATGTCTCTTCTGAGCAGCTCAGCTGGTCTGAGAATTTCTCAGCTGTCCTTCTTATGTAACCTTGGTGGGGGAGGGGACGAGTGTATGCTCAGTTCCAAAGACTTCTTCAAGCCTCTGAGTTGTTTACTGTCTAGGCTTTAAGAGCTTCCCTTTACATAGAGGTTTTATCCCAGAAGAAATTGCTATACAGCAATTTATATACATCAGTGAGTTTATAGATATTTATTCTATTATATAATTATATATTACTATTGTCACTCTAAAATCCTGGTGTTTGTTGTATAATATCCCAGCTTCAACCCCATGAGTCTTTGAGTTTGCCTCCTGTCTCCTTCAGTGTCCAGTCATTCCTTTTAATCCTATATTTAATGGCATTCCTTGGTGAAACAGGCCCATTGTTGTTTTCCAGCTTTAGAGCTAACCATATTTCTAGAGACATGCTTCCTTTCCTTAATATGAAAAACCTGTCTAGTTGTCCAAAACAGATTGATTTCTTCAACTCATATACATAATTTCAAAACTGCTAGCCATTATCTCTGTGAAGAACATCCTAATAGAGTATCTCATTTGTGTCCAGTTCTTTTTTTATATATACTATGGTAAAATATACATAAAACTTACCATCAACCATTTTCACGTGTACAAATTAGTAGTGCTTAACATTCAAGTGCATTCATCTTCTTATACAGTTATTACCATTATCTTAGTCACTGTTCTGTTGCTGTGAAGAGATATTGTGACCAAGGCAACTCTATAAAAGAAGGCATTTGACTGGGGGCATGCTTACAGTTTCAGAGGGTTAGTTCATTATAACCATGCTGGGGAGCATGGCAGCACACATGGTGCTGGAGCAGTAGCTGAGAGCTACACTCTGATCCACAGGCTGAGAGAGAGAGCCTGGGCCTGACATGGGCTTTTGAAACCTCAAAGCTCAACCCCAGGGACACACTTCCTCCAATAAGGCCACACTTCCTAATCCTTCTAATGGTTCTCAAATAGTGCCACTCCCTAATGACTAAACATTCAAATGTATGAGCCTATAGGGTTTTTCTTATTCAAACTACCACACCATTATCCATCTCCAGAGACATTTTTGTCATCCAAAACTGAAATTCCTCACACTAAATAGCCATTTTTTTTTTTTAAATTTTGCTCTCCCTAGTCCTGGTAAGCTCTACTCTCCTCCACTGTTTCTGTTAATAATAGTAACTCACATAAGTGGATCATGCAATGTTTGCCATTTACTTTTGGTTTATTTCACTTAGTTTAATACTTTAAAGCTTTTCCATATATCAGAATTGTGTTCTTTTTAAAACATGATAATTGCATCCCTGTGACCAAATACCTGTCAGAAACAACATAGGAAGGAAGGGTTTATATTGGATCATTGTTTGAGAGTGTTCAGTCCATGATCATTTGTCTCCATTCACTGGGACAGAGAATCGTGGGGGTGGTAGCATGTCACAGAGGAGAACCATTCATTTGTGACAACCAGGAAGTAGTAGTTACAGGAAATGGCTAGAGATAATATACCCACCTCCCATGACTTAGTGTTTATTTAGCTAGGTCCTACATCCTACCTAATCCACAAGCTCTTATAGCACCTCTTTCTGGGAATGTAGTATTTAAAACAGAAGCCTGTGAGGAGCATTTCATATTCAAATCATAGCAGTATTTGTTCGTCATGTTGTTCTTTTGTTTGTTTTTGTTTTTCAAGACAGGGTTTCTCTGTGTAGCTTTGCGCCTTTCCTTGAACTCACTCTGTAGCCCAGGCTGGCCTCGAACTCACAGAGATCCGCCTGGCTCTGCCTCCCAAGTGCTGGGATTAAAGGTGTGTGCCACCACAGCCCAGCTATCATGTTGTTCTTAAAACTTACTGATAGAGACTTTTGTTGTTTGTACCTGTTGGCTATTATGAAGAATGATACTTGCAGATATTGGGGTACCAGGTCATAGTTCCTGCTTTTAATTTTTTTGCTAGCTCATATGATAAATACATGTTTAAATTTCTAAGGAACCAACACACTTTTCTACAATTGCTATACCATTCTATACCACCAGGAGTGAGTTCCAGTTTCTCCACAACCTTGCAACACTTGAGCAGTTTTTCTATTTTTTTTTTTAATAATAACCCCTCACTGTATGAAAAATGGAATTTCATTGGAGGTTTGATTCATGAACATCTTTTCATGAGCTTCATCTCAGGAGAGATGTCTACTCAGGCCTTTTACTCATTTTTAAATTGGGTTGTTAGTAAGTTGTAAGAATTATATATGTTTATTATCATTCCCTTATCAGA